ACGAGTGACATTTCCGACGTCATACCTTGCATTGTTGTTCATCAGGAGTTCGCGGACGACATCATCCTAGATTATTCTGATTCAGATCTGGACACTGTTTGCAAGACGTTGACTACGGCTGTGACACGTCTGTCTGACTGGCTCTCCGAAATTGGGCTTCGGCTGAATACCGGCAAAACCCAAGTCATGGTAATTCAACCTCGGGGACTCACTGGCGACATACCAGTCGTGACATGTAAGGATCAAGCCTTAACTGTTACCTCCACTGCCAAATACCTTGGCGTAACCATTGATGACCAGCTATCCTGGCAGCCACATGTCTCCAGTGTTGTGCAGAAGGCGTCAGTCGCCATCAGCCAGCTATGGCGCCATGGGCGATCTCTGCCCATAAGAGCCCGCAGACTTTGGAACATTGGCATTGTGCAAGCACGACTAACGTACGCATCCAATGCATTCTTCCCGTCGCTGACACAGCAGCTGCAGAGTCGTTTAATCAAATCCAGCAAATCCGGAATTCGTGCAATTTTCCGACTCTCCAGCCGTGCATCCACAGCCCCCCTCCTCGTGCGCTTATCTATTCGATCCCTAACTCACATTTTTAACTACAAGGTTTTGTTTTTTGTTTTCCGTTGCCTACATGATCTTGCAAGTCCTCTTTTCTACACCTACTTTCAGTTGATGGCTAACACAGGCCAAGCATCCCGGGATGATCGCCGAATTACTCGAGGACAGGAGCAGCGGCTACTGCAAGTGCCTTTCCTTCCTGGACCTTCCGGTCGTCAGTCATTGACATTTGTGGGAAGCACTCTTTGGAATGCACTTCCCAGCGATATTCGCCTCCACAGTGCGGCGGTTGCCTTTAAACTGGCTCTGAACCGAATTAATTTGTAACCACCTTGCTCGGCATCCCTACACATTACTGCATGTTACCTCGGTGTTATCTTCACTGCATGCTTACACATACACACACCCATTTGAATTATATACAAACTTTGTGCTTTGGAATTATCATGTTATGATTCTTTTTAATATTTCCTTCTCTCATATTATATTCGTTCTTAGCAGAAGCCGGAGGTTTTCCTCTGGTGAGAAGGCAGAATTGCCTGTGCTCTAAACGAATTCAAATAAAAGAAACAAACAAACAAAAACATCATTGTATTGCAAAAACGTTTCAATGAGTTACTGAAGTAACGTCTTCTGCAAAGCTATGGGACCGGCGCTGACTCTGCCGATCACGGGCGTTCTGGAGTCGACGGGATGTCTGTCCTGCCGTTTCCTGGGACCAGCGCTGACTCTGCCGATCACGGGCGTTCGTCTTTTTCTTATTATTATACTGACGGCAACTAACATCCATTCTAATTGCATTTACTCGTCTCCCTACTTCGTATTTCTTTCCAGAAAATCTCCCCATACACCAGGGAGTCGTTTACATAATATGACTCCCTGCTATACATCTACATGACTGTATACACGTTATAATTATTATGCTTTCGGATACATGCGATTCCCGGGCTGTTCGACAGGCGACCCAGCCAGCCTGCTAGTGGGATCTCGGCCTCGCACACAAATCCACACAAAATGTCACTGCACTGAATGCATTCCCCGATACACTTCGCATATATACTCATTCTCTTGATGGTACCGTACACTTGATGGTACGGGACAGGTATGGGATAGCGCCAGGCATGCCGATGGCACAAACAAACAAAAATATTGTGGCCAGCTGTCTTTGTTGGTACGGTACGGTACGGGACAGATACAGGATAGCGCTAGGCGTGACACAAACAAACAAACAAACAAACAAACAAACAAACAAACAAACAAACAAACAAACACCAAATTAAAGCTGTGTGGACCCTGGCTAGCGCCAGACGTTACTGAAGTAACGTCTTCTGCATAGCTACGGGAATTAAAGCTGTGTGGACCCTGGCTAGCGCCAGACGTTACTGAAGTAACGTCTTCTGCATAGCTACGGGAATAAATTCTTTAAAAATTCTTTTTTTTAAGACATAACCTGGGATTTGAACCCGCACTATCGCGCGCCCTGCATGCATCCCCCGATACACTTCGCATACATACTAATTCTTCCAAATTGCTTCACATTATGATCTTGCATTTGAAAGCCCTATTTGAATATGCATTGTGGCCAGCCGTCTTTGAAGGTACGGTACGGTAGGGGATATGTACGGGACAGGGCCGATCGAGGGTAATACGACACCGTCTCCCGTGCCGTACCGTACCATCAAACACAGCTGGCCACATACAGCTGCCCACAATATTCAAATAGGGCTTTCAAACGCTAGATCATAACGTGAAGCAACTTGGAAGAATGGGTATGAATGCGAAGTGTATGGGAGAATGCATGTAGGGCGATATTGCGGGTTTGAATCCCAGGATATGCCTGAACAAAATAGGAGAATTGAAAAATTTATAATATCCCTATGGTTTTTTTTGCCGTCAGATATTGGATAGCGCCAGGCGTGACACAAACAAACAAACAAACACACAAACACACAAATACCAAATTAAAGCTGTGTGGACCCTGGCTAGCGCCAGACGTTACTGAAGTAACGTCTTCTGCATAGCTACGGGGATAAGCCCCTTTTTTGAACGATATTGGCGATCTGGAAGAGGTCCTCCGAAAAGTTGAGGAAGAGACTGAAACTTTTCTTGCGGTGTCGCTCGCGAAGGAGATCTTGGACGAGCCGGGTGAGCCTGCATAGCTACGGGAATAAAATACAAATGCAAATACAACTTTCACACCAAGATTCAACTCTAGTTCAACTCGAGTGCCAGGACTGCACCCAAAAAAGGACAAAACAGGCTTTAAGTTGTCCCTTCAGGCACGGTGACCAGGTGACTGGTGTACGCAGGAGTATGTTACCACTTGGTCAAGCATGTTCGATTGGGAATAAGGGGCGAAAGCTGCATCGCATCCTTTTTTGCCCAAAACCAGTCCACGCAGCGTCCAAAGGACTACAACATATTATATGGGCCAATCACGGTCATCCCTGCTTTTGTAAGACCGTAATGGCGCCTATAGGGACGTTTTGCATACAAATCCCCATCTAGTAGGGCGCAGTCACCTAGTTTCGGTGGAAGTGCGCGAGTTCTATTGGGGTTAAAGTAAGAAGGGAGCGTCTTAGCTCCCTTGGACCAAGACCATTCGACTCAGCACCCCGAAGACTACAGTTGGCGAAAATTTGACTCTAGCCCTAACTTCCCCCTTTAATTTAAAAGCTGTCTTCCCGTCGGCTAAGTTCGCGTTCTTCACCTTCGCATGCAATGTTTAAAGTTCAAACGATCAAGAAGCCTCTAGCTTTCATCTGTCCCTTCTCTTCTGGGATTATACAGGGAATGATGGAGATCTTTCGAATACATCAAGAAAATCTAGTCTGCCTTTCCTCGTCGACTCTTACTAATTGCAGGTTTCTTCGTCTGTTTCCAACGGTGTATCATTTGCTGGGATTGAAGAGTATTTCACCATGACACGAAAGTCTGTCCAATGCTCATCGTGAAACACATTGTAAAATGAAGTGCGTGTAAACACGTCAGCAGAATCATACAGGGGTTTCATGGCGTGTAAGCACGTCATCACATAACCAAGTTGGGGTTTCTTCGCGTGTAAACACGTCATCACATAATCAGGTAGGGTTGACATGGCGTGTAAACAAAAATCACATAATCAGGTAGAGTTGACCTGGCATGTAGACACGTCATCACAAAATCAGACAGGGGTTTCATGGCGTGTAAACACATCATCTGCAGGAAAAGTTTTAATAGGGTACTAAATGTACATGTTGCTCTGCTAGTAACCAAGCAACAACCTGAACTAGCGCGCACTGTGCACTGTGCTTTGTACTGCATTCCAGACTGATGTAACGCGCTTTGCTTTGCCACGTAATCACAAGTGGTTTCCATCACGTTTTGCTAAACACAAAAACAAATCTTGCTTGCCTTGTTATGGTCTTGCAGATAACAGATCTGAAATGTTTCCGCCGTTTTTTTTTACCTACTACTGTAAAACCGGGAAGACTAACGACCAAAAGTTAAACGATGGCTACTTGGCCACCTATCTGTATGTGCATCTACACACAGACATCTAGCGATAACGTTTTTTTAAATAACGAAAATTAATTTTGAAGTTGGTTGCTCCAACCAGGAGCACACGCGTCTTGCCGAACTTGACACTTGACTGACTCACGACTGCCATCCGGAGCACACGAGGAGCCGGAGAAACACTGTGTATTGAGCAGGGAATAGTGCTTTCTTTCAGGTTTGCCGAGCGGAAGGTGCGACGTGCTCCTCGTGTGCTCCGGATGGCAGTCGTGAGTCAGTCAAGTGTCAAGTTCGGCAAGAAGCGTGTGCTCCTCGTTGCAGCAACCAACTTCATGACTAATACCGCCGAAGTCGCAACTCCTAAGTTCGAAAATCAATTTGTCGTTAAAACGTTAGACTTTGTGACTCGTTAGACTTTCCGGTTACAGTATCCTTAACCTTATTCAAACTATAATTATATCGCACCCACTGATCTAGTTTACTCTCACAACCGGTTTATCTAGCTATTACATGTACAGATGAGTGTCTTGAGCTACATGTATAATTACTTACATTCATCAAAAATATTTAATATTGATTGAGTTCCAGGTCAATATAGAAAATAGAAGTGGAATAAAATCCCGAGACGAAGCCGAAGTCTTTTACGAGGGTTCTATTTCCTATACTGACCAAGGACGAAGTCAATATTAGATTTATCACGACAAAGAGTCCGTACTTCAATTTCCAGAATGATTACCTCATGAATCCCGGTTTTATAATTGCACAACTGCGCAACCCCTAAGCAGTCAAATACAAGCAGTCAATATAGCCCTAATGAGTGAAATTGGCAGGAATATAATTTTGATTGCTTAGGTATAGCGAAAATCAATGGGAGTCAACACTCCCATTGATAGGACTATTGCATGAAAGATATTTTGTGAATAATGCAAATGAGCTGTTGAGGGTATATCTGAGGTCTTCGTACTCCACTGCCAGTTAGCTGCTTGCCAAGAGTACTTCATTGCCATGTCGCACCATGGCTTCGACCAATTCCACTTTCGTCCATTCCTTATGATATTGCTGTCCTTGTGACGACGAAAGTAGAAAGGTTCCCAAGCCTAGATATAAGTCGCGACGATTGGGGCGTCGGGACTGCGGCAAACATCTCAATCTGTCTTCGTACTCCATCATAGCTGTGAAGTAATCGTCCACCTGAGAAGTGCGTAGTTCTCCCCTTATCAGGAGGGTGACAACGGAATGATTGATTGTGACTTTTGAAAACATGCCAATCCATGCAGCAGTGGCAAGCACTGGGTTGGAAGGATGGGATTTGTGATTGAAATCATGTCCAACAGCCCATTGCAAATAAGGATTATACATGTATGTCCATGCCAAAGGAAAGAACGCAGGGAGATTAAAGCGATCTAATTCCAGGTATGAACATATTCTTGTTTCGATCCTGGCACAGCTGTGAAGTCCTTTTGCAAGCCCAACAAGCCTCGATGATCGATTCGCAGAAGGCAAGTATTCCTCCAGTTCCTGGGTATCTTCGTCCAAATGGGTAATGATGGCCTCTTGGTACTGTTCCAGCGAACCACAATCTTCGAGGAATAAATCCGTTACATCTTTTAGTCGGTACTTTCTGCTGCCAAACGGTCTCTCTGGATTGATAGACGTGCATCTGTCCATGGAAGATATTTTAGGAAAGACCTCAGAAGCCTGATGAGGGTACAAGCTACACGTATTCCATTCACCAAGTGGATAAAATAAAGCAGCATTTGTCCAGCTCAGTTTGAGGCCAACAAAGGCGGGTGGCTTCAACGCCAGGCTCAATATTCGGACAAACGTTTTCGCCATCAATTCAAACGTATTGGCTGTTTCGTCGACTATCCTTTTATCGCCGGTGTAGGCAATACTGAGCGCTTTGTGAGCGATAAACATAATTTTTGCAACTCGAACATATGGCACTTTCAAATGTGGACTGAGAAGATAGCGTTGCTGCATGGACGGGACAAAAAAAGACAATGAAAACATACACTAACTTACATGTAAATGTTTTAGAGGATTCCAAGGAGAAAAGGCACATGTCGACTTCAGAGTAGAAGCACAAACTGCAGGCTCGGCAACACCCTTATGAAATGAGGTTCACGAACAAAATATCGTGCCTTTTGGTCAAGTGATATACAGGCCAGAGCAAACAAGTGCAAACATAGTAGAGTAGAGAATGAAATATTGTGTATGAGCATCCTGAATATCGGGCTTTGTAAGGTTATTTCGATTACTGTATTTTTACGTTTACGCAGTGCTAAGTTGTAGAATATTTTAGAAGCTGTGTATATCCACGCTAAGGAACCTTATCTTGGCAATAACAGACCGATGTGAAATTGGCCACAATCCACTATACAGCGTCCAAGAGTCAACTCATTTTTGATCAGCTTCATTCAGCCGCGCAATCCCCTATAAGGAGTACACTTTTTCTACAAGTCCCCTATTCACGTTCCAGGAATCCAGTTTATCCAGTCACACCTTCCTGTTTGTAGAAAAAAAGAACAAACCCCTTTTCAGTGACGCTTGCCACGTGGCAGCGCTTTCCTTTCTTCACTGCAGCCATATCTGTCAGTTCTTCTGTGCAGTTGCTGACAGTGATATGTCTCGAGGTAACCAAGGAGGAAAAGGAGACGTTCAAAATCAAATCTGGAAAGCGTCTTATGGTTCTCTAAAGACGTTTCGTCAGTGCGCGGGATGAAAGCAGAAAGTGGAGAACTAGAAAATTTAGCACAGTTAAAACCTGATGAGTCAGGTACACTGACACTCTCTTTCGTTGGACGCCACAAAGATCTCCTGTTTGACTGGCCATGGCTGCCAGTTCTGCTGTGCAGTTGCTGTCAATAAGACGTTTGAACGGTTTCATCAGTGCGCGGGATGAAAGCAGAAAGCGGAGAACGAGAAAAGTTCAGCACAGTTCCAATCTAACAAGTCAGGTACACTGACACTCTCTTTCGTTCGACGCCACAAGGATACACTGTTTGACGTGACAAGAGCTGCCTGTACCACCGTATCAAAAGGCTGTCAGACTACATGGCAGGGTAATGACTGAGTCAAGGAAGCTTTTACCGTTTCGATTGGTCTGTTGTTCTGTCGTTATGCTTGATTTTTTCCATTTTCACGGAGTGTATCGCGTTTGTTTGATGTTGCTTAAATGAATGCCCTAAAAGTAATCAACGACTTCGTAAAAGTTGCGCGACAATACTACCACTAGTATCAGTCCTCAAGAACTGCAAGGACTTTGCATCAATCATCTAGCTATAATCAATTTCTATTCATGAGAAATGTATCTTTGTCCTGTGATAATTATGTGAACTCAACGACACTCTTCCTCTAGTTTGATGTCGAAATACAATGGAATCGTCAAACGCAGTGCCAGTGTACAAGAAATAGGAGGAGGATTCCTTGTATGCCGATGACATGAAAAAGCTTCCCAAGATAATACTCGTATTCCATAACGTAACCGTTTTGATGTCACAAACATGACTTTGTGTCAGTGAAATTGCCTCGTGACAACAAATCATTGCATTTCCATCTTGGGGAAGACTGTTTTACTGACGGTGACGCTGTACAGATTGTTTAAATCATCTCATTATAATTTTAGTTTCAATGAATTGAAACACTGTGGAGTGCACTACATGTATGGTGGTGCAGTCTGTCTCAGGCCCTTGTTCAAACTCTGGAAATACACCAGCGTCCGCTTCTAAAAATCCTGTTTCGCAAAAATCAAAACTTTCTCCTCCCAACGTCTCTACAGTTTAGCTTCAGTATCTCCCCTCTTAGAGCGACACCAGCAACATCTTTGCATCCTTGTACACATGATCTTATTAGACCTGGCTCCAAACCACTTTGCTAAGTATAACTGGTTTGTGTCCACCAGATCAACACTTCATTCCTTCTTATTACCCCGTGCCAATACCTCCCTGTTTCTGAAATCTCCTATCTTCTCTGCGTACACTCTCTGGTCTTCCCTGCCAACTAGCCTTAAAGCATGCACAGACATTAAGGAGTTCAAGCTTCAGCTTCTTCGTCCTAAATAATCTCACCATTTTCGTCATGCTTCCCCTTGCAGTACTCTCTTTGTTTCTCTCTTTATTATTCAGTTCGCCGTGGTTGGCTACCACCCGACTTCTCATATATATTGGCAGTCTTCTGACGAGCCAGGAGATGTTGAATTAATAATAATGGTGGTGTGTCTGTGTGTCTTGAGTATGCACAGGAAATCTTATTCCTCGTATTACTAATAGATTATTGTCCCCACCGTCACCTGTTCACAGGTCCTTGAGTGGATGGATTTTCATTGAGCATCACATTCGTTGAGAACTTGGTAGTTGTGTGCTTCCATGCATCATTACGGTAATAAGCGTATCCTTGTGCTATATATTTGTTGCAGGTGTGCCGATTTTGAAAAGCTTGCGGAACTGAGTGCTGCTGAACATTTGCATGACCATGGGTAATGGTGAAGCTTGCTATTACACTCTCAGCATGTGTCAGTATTATGCTGACTACTGCACTATGTTACTCTCTTACACTAATAACTGTATGTAAACTTGCGTACACAGGTCCACGTATGCATTCGTTTGGTACAATTATTTGTTATCCCTCTTTACTTTACGTTTAAATGGATGGACGTTTGCATGGCTGCTGGAGTTGCGTGTCTATTGTGTCTCTACTCTTTTCTTGGTGTTTTCTTGGGGTTGTATAAATTTGTGTGTGTGTGTGTGTATGTTTGTGTGTGTGTGTGTATGTGTGTGTGTGTGTGTGTGTGTGTATGTGTGCGCGCGCAATAATTTGAAAACAATAACTTCATCCTTGGCTGTCCATCATATCCTATTCTCTTTCGATTCTTGGTATTTTCTTGGCGTTGTGTTGGTGGGTGCATGTGTGTGTATGTCTGTGTGCGTGCACACTGATTTGAGAACACATCATGATTGAGATAATTATTGTAATTTGCAGCGTCTGCGAAGAGACCACTTGATTTGAGGATGGTGTTTGTAGGGTTTTTCATGTAATGAAGTGGCTGCAGTGGAGCCTCAATACTAAGTATACGTCTTACTATTTTTATCTAGAGAACTGAAGATCCTATGTCTAATATTGAACTCTGCATAAAGGATGCCTAATTTGCTGGACTGAATACAAGATGTGTTGTCCACATAAAGACTCTGTATAGCTGATTTCAAAGTTTGGACTGTGTACAGTGGATTTTGGACCAATGGACTCTATATAGGGTTGAAGGCAATTGGTTGGACTCTATCCAGGGATTGATGTTCATCTAAACTTTGAGCTCACAGTTGATTCCAAGTTTGGACTCTGTACAGTGGAATTTGGACCAATGGACTCTATATAGGGGTTGGACACCATATAGGGACTGGACGCTCTCCTGAGTCCAACATGTATACTTCGGAGTAGTAGCACAAACTGCAGTATCGGAAATACCCTTATGAAATGGGATTCCCGAATAAAAATTCGTAACTTTTTATCAAGTGATATACAGGGCAGAAATAACAAATGCAAGCAAAGTAGAGTAAAGATGAATAATTTTGTCTGAGAATCCTGAATGTCAGGCTTTGTAACGTTATTCTTCTTACTTTATACATGCAATTCACACATTACGCACTCACACACGCACACCAAAACAGAAACAATGCATTATTACTCACCACACAAAGCCGTCTAAACGTGTACTCATTGAGCAGCAACCGTTGCATGGATTTGCTTACACCACAGAGCTGAAATATGTCTTGAATAGACAACATTGGCAACAAGATGTCTTGCCACACGTCAAACTTTACACATTCCAGTCCATTCGCTACTGATTCATGGACATCCATTGTCAAGGCAGGCCTGTAATTCTAGTTGTCCGATACTTGAGCTATGGGGCTGTCTACTTGCCACCAACAAGAACACAAAATTGCAAACACAATGAACCACAATAATGCACACAGAACCAATACAAAAACTCGCAATTCACAAGTGTATTTTTCATCGTAATTCATACCATTTATACAAAGAGAAAAGACCAAGGCTCTGCAAGCTCTCCATGCGAGTTCATTCCTGCACACCTTAAGGTGGCAGACTACCCAAAAATTCGCTGAAAAATCGAATTTGTAAATTCATATTGAGTGCTACGTCAGTTGAAAGAGCATGAATAGCTGCAAATTCTCTGAAAATTGTGTCCCGATCTGACCGGCCGTTCAAGAGTTATGGCCGAAAATGTGCCCTTGCAAGGAAAGATTTTTTTGTTGCACGCTGTCATTTGTTGGCAGCACTGTATTTGAATGTGAGCAGACCGTGCGCAACTTGTCGTATCATGGAAACACGTGAAAGTGTGCAGAATTTTGCTCCAAGTCCAAAAAATCAGGTTTTTGAGCCACGTGCAGCAGGATTTTTGCCAGCACCCTCGTGACGTTGCAGATATGTGGCTTGATTATTGTAGTTGACGTTGATTTAGTGACTTTGGCAAGTTTTAGTCGTGTCAAGAAGTCAGGTAGGATTCAGTACTAGGCAGTAGTGAAACGTGAGTGGTAGTCTTTGCCGGTTTCTGAGGGTATCCTGGATTTGGTGTGCAGCGCTGTGGAAATGGCTTGCTGTGGAGGTCCCAGCACTGGATGTTGTATCAAAGGTACGACCTCGTAGCAGGTGCTAAACCTAAAAAAAATCAAAAATTGACTTGGGTCTGTGGGAGTGTGTGAGAGAACGCCCACTCGTTCCGTTGTGACATCTTCCAGGGCCTCGTTGAGGGGCCCTACCCCATCACCCATGGCTGCTTCTGGACTGGTTCTAGGTTTGAATCCCACGCACGAACAGAATGAGCACGAAAATGTGAAAAAATTGTAAATGCATTTGTTTGGCTCCTGGGTGGCTCGCACACCGTGGCACTATGCCGGAAATTTCAGTTTTTCCGGCCTGGAAAGCCTGTCAGTGAGGCGCAAGAACTTGTAAATCATGTCCTGAGGGCCAGCAGAGTGGCAGGAGTGTGTGGTCAAAATGTCACTCAAATCCATTGAGAAACACCAAAGTTACGGTCAATTGTATGCCATATGAAATTTATGGGTAGGCTGCCCCCTTAAGAACATTTGATCAGACTACCTCAAGATAACTATAATTATGTAAAGAAAAGAATTAAAAATCTGGGAACTTTTATACTCCAGCTAAAACATTTCACCTTAGTGGCTGCCATTCCATACATGTTCATAAAATCAGCAGAAAAAGGAATAAGAAAGCAGAAAATTGACAGACAGTAGTTTTAAGCCGAAAACTCTTTGCACCCCACTGAATCTGCCGCTTTCTCGCTCCCTTGACTTCACATTACACTAATTTCCGAACTGATTTGTGCATCCTTGCAGCGTTGCAGTGTTGCATTGTCAGTGGACTTCTCTTGTGCTATGAATGGCAGTCTCGATTCAGTCAAATGAGAACCCATGTCGGCCAGAAAAGAGCAAGCCCTCACGAAGGAAGCAGCACAGAATGTCGCTAACAGTGTTTTGAAGAAAGGTAATCAACAATTTTTCAATAAGCACGACATGAACTAACGATAGATTATCTATTGCGTCTACATTCTACACGCTTACCTAACTTAGCGGAAGGGAAGTTGGTAACTGGTGATATCGGGTAGGTACGCAAGTTTCTGCTGTACTTGAAGGAAGAAAAACGGATCTGATCGGCTGTTTTGCAAAGAGTCTACTGTCTGTTCGAAATCTGTACAGCTCTGCCTAATGCAAAGAGTCTACTGTCTGTTCGAAAGCTGTACAGCTCTGACTAACTAGTATACCATAGTACAGTCATTTTACAGTACTGTGTCATCAAAGTACCACTTGCAGTTGTGTAAGTACAATGCAGTTATTGAAATTGTTGTGAGCGTTCATGGTCTGGGACAAGACACGACGTACCTACGCGTCATATAACTCAGCTGGGCATCTGGCAGCCAGCGCAACCGCAGCAACTGTGCTACCTCGAAAGTAAAGTGCATGAATCATGATTGTAGTTGAGCTAGGCTCAAAGACTACGTTCGCGATGCGACAAGCGATTTGGCCTACGTTTTGGACCTATTCTACAGGAAAGTAGTACAAAAGTTCAAGAGCTGCCTGCTGTACGTTTTTGTACCATAGTACAATCATGTATCAGTGTCGGCAGTCCATGCGATGAAGGATGTCTTTGATGATCCCGAAACAGTGTGCCACCTCCTCGTTGATGCCGATAACGACTTCACCTCTGTTAGTCGAAATGCCACCATATGGAACTGTCGTGTGCTTTAGCCTTGGCGTTCAGGGTTTCTGTTTGACTCATTTCGTGGGTTTCCGGTCGTTGTGCTTCGTGGGGCAGGAGCAAACTTCATCCATGTCCTGCTCAGCCGTGAGGGAACAACGCAAGACTGCCCCTTGGCAATGATGATGTATGCTATTGGTGTCCAACCCCTTGTCAGGACACTTGCCAACCCCAGTAAGCAACGACAGGACTAGTAGTTTTCCGATGATTCCTTATGTGGAAGGAAACTGCGTCATGTCAGCGAGTGTGCCGATGTTCTTGCGGACGCAGGCCAGGATTTAAGGTACTTCTCTGAACCAACAATGAAGAAACCCCATGACAGCCACATCGCCGTTTGGATATGTGAACCAGGGTGGCATGTTCACGATTTCCAATTCAAAACATTATCCGGGAACCTTTACAATGGAGCTTATCAGTTGAGAACATAACAAAATGCATTTTTCGGAGCACACAACTTGGTCTTGAAAAAATCTAATTTTTCGGACTGTGATTACCCTCGATACTGTTCTGTTCCTTGTTAGAAATACTAAAAGCAATGCCAGAATCAATGGTCCTACTGGTTGCTTTGCTCGTTTCGCCATCATAATTATTTATTGCAGCAAGAATAGATGAAACATTTATTTATTTATTTGAGGATTAGATGCGCGATTAACGGCGCTATTCTTTGTATCATACTTGCTGTACTAAAACTATGATTAGTTACAGTCATGACGAGTAGTCCCCTCAAAAGGAGTCAAACGGGAGTATGTTGCGCTTGGTCAGGGGGTGGGATTCTATCCCAGCTCCCCCTTGGCGTTGCCGTTTCACGGTTTGCCAATGGTCCGTACTACAAAAATAATACTTTGAGTACGTGTACAGACCGGTCGGTGTAGTCGTGGATCTTCACTGATATTTTTATTATCAATTTAGAAAAGCGATCCTATCAGCTTTTCTACTTTTCTTGTCACAATTTAAGAGCCAACGACACCGCAGTTGACACTTTATCTACATAAGGTTCTGTCTAAAGACAGTAAGTTGCTCCGTACCTGGGCCGGGAGTACTATTTTACTATTCCATGGCTCCTAGCATCGCCTGGCTGGCCTCGTCCGTATGCACAGCAAACATTTTTCACAGTCTTTTTCGGTTGTGCATGAACGAGGAACCAACTACCTTTTTTGGACCTTTTTCACGTCATCAGATCATCGCGTGTAAACACGTCATCTGCACTCATAGTTTTAATTAATGGGGTACTAAATATAAATGTATTATTTAGGTTTGCTTATACAGGTCCCAACTAACCACACTAGCGCACACGCTACACTGCATTGCCTTGTACTGCATTTCAGATTGATGTCATGTGCTTTGCTTGGCTGAGTAATGATAATTTGCACCAAGTCCGTTTTGCGGAAAAGAAAAATGAAATCCTGCTTTCCGTATTGTGGTCTTGCAGAAAAACCGATCGTGCTTCTTTACCTACATGTTCTATCTCTCCTTATCCACCTTATCCAAACCAAAATTATATCCTACCTACTGGTCGGGTTCAGTCTCACAACTGGTTTTTGCACTGTATCCAGGTATTTACGGAGTCTCTTCCTGGACCTATATCAATGCATTTATTACATCATTGTAGCTCCAACATGAGCTAACTGTAGCTCTACCTTGAGCTTTAAACCAATGGTTTCGAAACCGTAACTCCTCAATGACCCACAGATGCCTTTTTGTTGACATGATTGTGTGAGGGAAGTGAGTGATGAAAATCTAAAAAAAAATATTGGTGGTGAAACGAATGTCAAAACCTAGTAGCCGAATATTCTTTGGCTTAACGAACGAAGGTACGAATATTCTTTTTGCAGCAAAGATTACATCACATGCCCTCCTCTCAGTCTTGTGATGGATATTGTCATTACTGTTAGTTGTCCGATATTTGATCGATGGGACTAACTACATTGGACCAACAAATACACAAAATTATGAATAAAATGCTACACCATATATTTTACACTCTAAATCATTTGATCAGATCACCGGATGATAACTACATGTATAAGCAACAGTTAACAATCTGGGAGTTTCATACCCTAGCTATAACATTACACATTAGTGGTCGCCATTTCATAAATTGTCATAAAATCAGCAGAAAAAAAGAAGAAAAAACGACAGACAGTAGTTTCAAAAAGAAAACTCTTTGCTCACCGCTGGAGCTCTCGCTTTCCCGCTGCCTTGATTTCACACTAGACAGGTTCCAGAAAGGATTCGGGCATCGGCTATCCTTCCAGACCTGCAGATTGGAAATTTCAGTGGACTTATCACGTACATTGGATGGCTATCTTGAGTCAGTCAAGTTAGAAATATTGGCGGCCGGAAAAGAGCAAGATGTCACGAAGAAAGCAACAAAGAATATCGCTATCAACAATTTTACAATAAACACAACTTGAACTGACAATAGACATTATAACGTATCGACATACTACACTCTTACCTAGCTGAAGGAATGACAACTTTTTGCCAGTTGCTGGTGATAACGGGTAGCTACACCTTTCTAGGACGAAGAAAAACTGATCTGTCCGGCTGCTTTGCAACGAGTCTACTGGCTGTTCGAAAGCTGCATAGCTCTGCCTTATGTGTATAGCATCGGACAGTCATGTCCCAGTGCCAGCAAAGTACCACTTGCACTTGTGTAAGTACATGGTTGTGAGCGTTGAAGGTCTGAGACAAGACTAGATGTTCCTATGCGTTTTCTGCTCGAGTGCATGCGTCATATACCTCGGCTGGGCAACTTGCAGCCCATGTAACCAGCTGAGCTGTGCGCAAGAGTAAAATACTGGCAGTTGAGCTTGGCTCAACTAATTACTTTCGCGATGCGACACGTGATTTGGCCTACGATTTGGAACTATTCTACAGCAAAGTAGTCGAAAAGTTCAAGAGTTGCCTTTTGTACAATTTGGACCATAGTAACGTCATATCCCAGTACAATGTCGGCAGTGCATGCGATGAAGAGGGATCAATAGAGAGGTTCTGCTACACTTGACACATAGAGAAATCGTGAAGAGAGCAGGTGTCTAGGTTATAGTATACTGCTCCGCGTGTTTTGGGTCCAGATTTCTACGCGTAGATAAGTTCCTCTACGCTGTGGCACCACGGAGAAAAAAATGTATACAGATTTCCTGAACATCGATCAAATGCAGGCAGAAAACTGCCAAATATGGAAGGAGAAATTCCCAGCACACATTCCATGTGATTTCACGACGTGACCGTAGAGTAGAACAGCTTTCCTTTTCGTTCGGTGAACGCGAAGAGAGTTCCCGGAATCTTCGCGTTGCGTTCCCATAATGTAGAGCAGAACCTAACTATTACCAAGCCGTGAAACCTCAACGGGAACGAGTTCAACGGAACGAACGTGAAACACGGCGTGATTTATTAGCATTATTTTCTCCCATTCACCACCCGTTTACGAAATTCGGCTGCTTTCCAGTTTCAAAGAGTTTTTTTATTATTTTGACAGGCGATGATTTCGAAAGCTTTTCTTGAGATCACATCTTAGCCTGACTGACCTTTACCCGAATGAAGATGAAAGAAACCCCATGACAAGCACATCGCAAATGAATGGGTGCAGCAAAGGGTTGTGTTCGCGATGTCCATTCCAAAACATTCCCCAAAGACTTTACAATGGAGCTAGTTGGTTGAGAATATTTGACAAAACTGAACATTTCGGAGGAGAAGACAAAACCTTATCAAGGAAGCTGATGGTAGTATTGAATAAGTCTCATCTTTGGCACCGTGGTTACCCTAGATCCTGTTCTGTGTCTTTTTGGTAATGATTATGCCAAATTCAGTGGTGCTACTTGATATTTGGTGCGTCCTTCCGTCATATTCACTCCTACAAGACAGGGTGAGAAATTTTAGAAATGTTAGAAAAATCAGAAAGAATAAAATAGGCGCGATTTATGTTGCTATTCTCCGCATCATGGTTGAAATCGCACGTACTCGATTAAGACCGTCTCGTTGCAGTCAAGACGAGTAGACCCCTCCGAAATCGTCAAACACGAGTATGTGTCGCGTGGTCGGGACGGGATTCTAACCCAGCTCCACCTTCGCGTTGCCGTTTCACGACTTACTAATGGTCCCTAAGGATGCCTTCGATACTACCGAAACAGAGTGCCTCCTCCTCGTTGATGCCGCTAACGCCTTAGACTCTGTTAGTCCAACTTCCACCCTATGGTACTGTCGTGTGCTTTGGCCTAGGTGTTCGGTCACTACTAATTCCTCGCCCACAATGATCCAGTCACTCTCCTAGCATTCATCCCTATATAGCCCTAAGGAGTGAAATATGCAGGAATATTTGACTGCTTAGGTATAGCGAAAATCAATGGGAGTCAATACGATCAGGGTGATAAATGCATGTTATTTCGAAACACGTGCTCCTCAATGATCCCAAGGTGCCTTTTTGTTGTCTTGTTTCTGTGAGCTACGGGGTACTACAGTCAAATTTAGGAGCGCATTTATGACAAACATTAGCGACCAAGTAGGTAAAATACGCTCGTGTTAAACTTCGTGTGCACACGTCATAATAGGAAGCATGGAAACAACATATGATTAATGACTTTTTAACTCGTTATCAATTAAGTCAACCTAAGTACGAGGAAATTGTGCCGGACGAATGGTCACCATTTTATAAAGTAATAGGTATACATTGGTAGGACTTGGGCATGAAAGATATGCTGTGAATAATCCAATTGAGCTGGTCAGGTTATACCTCAGCTCTGCGTATTTCCACTGCCAGTTAGCTGCTTTCCAGTAGTAGTTCATCGCCATATCGCACCATAGCTTCAACCAATTCCACTTTCGTCCATTCCTTATGATTTTGCTGTCCTTGTGATGACGAAAGGAGAAACCTTCCAAAGCCTAGATATAAATCGTGACGATCAGGGCGTCTGGACTGCGGTAAACGTTTTAATCCGTCTTCGTACTCAATCATAGCTGTGAAATAATCATCCACTTGAGACGTGCGTAGGTTTCCCTTTATCAGGAGGGTGACAACGGAATGATTAAAGGTGACGTCTGAAAATATTTTAATCCATTCACGGGTAAAGAGTACTGGGTTGGCAAGAGCAAATTGGTCATAGTCATATTCTCCAAAGCCCCATTGCAAATAAGGATTGTATGTCCATGCCAAGGGAAAGAACACAGAGAGACTAAGGCTATCTACTCCCAGGTATGAAAATATTCTTGGTTCGATCGTGGCCAAGTTGTGAAGTCCATTTGCAAGCACCACAAGCCTCGATTGTCGATTCGCAGAGGGCAAGCATTCCTGCAGTTTGTGGATATCATCGTCCAAATGGGTGATGATGGCCTCTTGGTACTGTTCCAGCGAACCACAATCCTCTGCCAATATATCCGCAACATCTATTAGTCGGTACTTTCTGCTGCCAAAAGGTCTCTCTGGATCGATAGCCGTGCATCTGTCCATGATTATATGGGGAGATATGTTAGGTAAGAACAGAGAAGCCGTAAAAGGATGCAAGCCACAAGTATTCGATTTAACAAGTGGATTAAGTAAAGCAGCATTTGTCCAGCTCGGTTTGAGGCCAACAATGTTGGGTGGCTTCAACGCCAGGCTCAATATTCGGAAAAACGTTTTCACCATCAATTCCATCGTATTGTCTGTTTCGTTGTTGACTATCCTTCCATCGCCGTTGTAGTCAATACTGACTCCTTTGTGAGCGATAAACATAATTTTTGCAACTCGAATATATGGCACTTTCAAATGTGGACTGAGATGATAGCGTTGCTGCATGAACGGGACAAAAACAAAGACAATGGACACTTTCCCTGACTTATATGTAAAAGTTTTTAGAGGATTCTTAGGAGAACAAAGTACATGTACACTTCGGAGTAGAAGCACAAACTGCATGCTCGGCAACACTCTTATGAAATGCGGTTCACGAACAAAATGTCGTGCCTTTTGATCAAGTGATACACAGGCCAGAGCAAACAAATGTAAGCACCGTAGAGTAAAGATGGATAATTTTGTCTGAGCATCCTGAAAGTCGGGCATTCTAACAGTATTCTTATAACTGCATTTTGACGTTTACGCAGTGCTAAGTTGTAGAATGTTTTAAAACCTGTGTATATTCACACTAAAGAACCTTATCTATGCAAAACAGACGCATTTGAAATTAGCCACAGGCCTAGCCTAAATCGAGGGAATCTTCTGTGAGGGGAGTAAAATGATGAGATTGAAATACTTCAGTCTTCAGAGCTAACCCCAACATTTTGCATCATCAAAAACGTACAACAAGCAATGGTGATTTATCAATGACACACCCCAGATAACGGATTTGTGGTCATGTCATGACAAGTCTTACGGAAACAATTTGCATCTTTTTAAAGCAATGCACTACGCATCTAGTATTGACTGAGTGAAAGGTCAGTATAAGAAATACAAGCCGAGTAAAATTCCGAGGCGATGGCATTTTTAGATTTATCCAAAAAACCGTCGGTATTTCAAGTTCCAGAGCGATAAACTCATGAATCCCGGTTTCATGATTACACAACCGTTGCATCATCAGGCATCACCTACTCATGCAGTGACCATGCTGCACTAGGCACCGTTCAACTGCGCAACGCGTCAGCATACAATTACAAGCAGTCAATATAGCCCTAAAGAGTGAAATATGCAGGAATATTTGACTGCTTAGGTATAGCGAAAATAAATGGCACTCAATACTAAGAGAGTGATAAAAACTATAAACATCATCTTCTTCAGCTTCCATTTCCTATACTGACCTCGCACTCCGTCAATATAAGGTAAATATTCTTCGATCCCGAAGTAATATGTGAGGTAGAAAGGTTTTCGAGAATTTGTTAACAATAACGTAGACAGTGAGTGGGAAGACGATGAACTCTACATGGACATGTATCAATATGAACATAGGGAATCAGTCAAGGATAAGATGCAACTGCTTCAGAAAGGGAAAGGAGTTGGCCCAAAATTATCCTCAAATTGACACTGTGACGCAGATATTGATCAGCAAATGCACATGCAATTCACACATCCACGCACTCAGATATTGGCATAGATTCATACACACACGAAAACAGGAATTTTGCATTATTAGTGCTCACCAGAACAAGTCGTCTGAACGTGTACTCATTGAGCAGCCACCATTGCATGGATTTGCTGACAGCACACAGCTGAAATATGTTTTGAATAGACAACATTGGCAACAAGATGTCTTGCCAGACGTCAAACTGAACACTTTCCAGTCCATTCGTTCCGGATTCATGGGCATCCATTGCCAAGGTAGGCTGGCAGTGCTAGTTGTCCGATATTTGATCGATGGGACTAACTACATTGGACCAACAAATACACAAAATTATGAATAAAATGCTACAACGTATATTTTGCATTTTAAAATAATTTGATCAGATCACCGGATGATAACTACATGTATAAGCAACAGTTAACAATCTGGGTGTTTCATACCCTAGCTATAACATTACACATTAGTGGCCGCCATTTCATAAATTGTCATAAAATCAGCAGAAAAAAAGAAGAAAAAACGACAGACAGTAGTTTCAAAAAGAAAACTCTTTGCTCACCGCTGGACCTCTCGCTTTCCCGCTGCCTTGATTTCACACTAGACAGGTTCCAGAAAGGATTCGGGCATCGGTTATCCTTCCAGACCTGCAGATTGGAAATTTCAGTGGACTTATTACGTACACTGGATGGCTATCTTGAGTCAGTCAAGTTAGAAATATTGGCGGCCGGAAAAGAGCAAGATGTCACGAAGAAAGCAACAAAGAATATCGCTATCAACAATTTTACAATCAACACAACTTGAACTGACAATAGATATTATAACGTATCGACATACTACACTCTTACCTAGCTGAAGGAATGACAACTTTTTGCCAGTTGCTGGTGATAACGGGTAGCTACACCTTTCTTGGACGAAGAAAAACTGATCTGTCCGGCTGCTTTGCAACGAGTCTACTGGCTGTTCGAAAGCTACATAGCTCTGCCTTATGTGTATAGCATCGGACAGTCATGTCCCAGTGCCAGCAAAGTACCACTTGCACTTGTGTAAGTACATGGTTGTGAGCGTTGAAGGTCTGAGACAAGACTAGATGTTCCTATGCGTTTTCTGCTCGAGTGCATACGTCATATACCTCGGCTGGGCAACTTGCAGCCCATGTTACCACGCGAGCTGTGCGCAAGAGTAAAATACTGGCAGTTGAGCTTGGCTCAACTAATTACTTTCGCGATGCGACAATTAATTTGGCCTTCGATTTGGAACTATTCTACAGCAAAATAGTCGAAAAGTTCAAGAGTTGCCTTTTGTGAAATTTGGACCATAGTAAAGTCCTATCCCAGTGCAATGTCGGCAGTGCATGCGATGAAGAGGGATCAATAGAGAGGTTCTGCTACACTTGACACATAGAGAAATCGTGAAGAGAGCAGGTGTCTAGGTTATAGTATACTGCTCCGCGTGTTTTGGGTCCAGATTTCTACGCGTAGATAAGGTCCTCTACGTTGTGGCACCACGGAGAAAAAATGTATGCAGATTTCCTGAACATCGATCAAATGCAGGCAGAAAACTGCCAAATATGGAAGGAGAAATTCCCAGCACACATTCCACGTGAGTTCACTACGTGAACGTAGAGTAGAACAGATTTCCTTTACGTTCAGTGAACGCGAAGAGAGTTCCCGGAATCTTCGCGTTGCGTTCCCATAATGTAGAGCAGAACCTAACTATTACCAAGCCGTGAAACCTCAACGGGAACGAGTTTAACGGAACGAACGTGAAACACGGCGTGATTTATTAGCATTATTTTCTCCCATTCACCACCCGTCTACGAAATTCGGCTGCTGTCCAGTTTCAAAGAGTTTTTTAATTAATTTTTTACAGGCGATGATTTCGCAAGCTTTTCTTGAGATCACATCTTAGCCTGACTGACCTTTACCCGGATGAAGATGAAAGAAGCCCCATGACAAGCACATCGCAAATGAATGGGTGCAGCAAAGGGTTGTGTTCGCGATGTCCATTCCAAAACATTCCCCAAAGACTTTACAACGGAGCTAGTTGGTTGAGAATATTTGACAAAACTGAACGTTTCGGAGCAGTAGACAAACCCTTATCAAGGAAGCTGAAGGTAGTATTGAATAAGTCGCATCTTTGGCATCGTGGTTACCCTAGATCCTGTTCTGTGTCATTCAGTGGTCCTACTTGATATTTGGTGCGTCCTTCGGTCATATTCACTCCTACAAGAGTGGGTGAGAAATTTAGAAATTTTAGAAAAATCAGAGATAATAACTTAGGCGCGATTTATGTTGCTATTCTCCGCATAATGGTTGAAATCGCACGTACTCGATTAAGACCGTCTCGTTGCAGTCAAGACGAGTAGACCCCTCCGAAATCGTCAAACACGAGTATGTGTCGCGTGGTCAGGACGGGATTCTAACCCAGCTCCACCTTCGCGTTGCCGTTTCACGACTTACTAATGGTCCGTAAGGATGCCTTCGATACTACCGAAACAGAGTGCCTCCTCCTCGTTGATGCCACTAACGCCTTAGACTCTGTTAGTCCAACTTCCACCCTATGGTACTGTCGTGTGCTTTGGCCTAGGTGTTCGGTCACTACTAATTCCTCGCCCTCAATGATCCAGTCACTCTCCTAACACTCATCTCTATATAGCCCTAAGGAGTAAAAAATGCAGGAATATTTGACTGCTTAGGTATAGCGAAAATCAATGAGAGTCAATACGATCAGAGTGATAAATGCATGGTATTTCTGAACCAGTGCTCCTCAATGATTCCAAGGTGCGACTTTGTTGTCTTGTTTCTTTGAGCAACGGGGTAATACAGTCAGAATGAAGAGCGCATTTATGACAAACATTAGCGACCAAGTAGGGTAAATAGGCTCATGTTAAACTTCGTGTGCACACGTCATAATAGGAAGCATGGAAACAACTGTAATGGGTAGCCGAGTGGTAGGCGCGGTGAAATCAACAATAATTACTTTTATTCTACTTTCAGGTACACACCTGAGATATAATCGTTAGTGAAAGAAGAAGCGGCAAAATAAATAACTTTCACTCCGGTGCTCACCTAGAGGCTGAATCCGTATTCTTCGAGTTAGCTTTCATTGCTATCCAATCTAATCTAATCTTCTCTTCATTAAAACAGAAATGCTCAGCCGCTTTTATGCAGCAGACGCCGTACGCTTACATACGGAGATACACTAAAATACATCAGGCAAAGCTCCGTATTAGTTCCGTACTGCTTCCGTATTGGTCGGGCAGGGATACTACACCCTCCCTTCCTACAGATAATCACGCCCTCGTGATTTTCAAAAAATTAGTGAAGAGTAACGAAAACAGCGTCAACCGGAAGATGGCAAATTATATCGGAAATGATAACTTTTAGAGTAGACAGAATAAATGAACTGATAACAAATCATTAAGTAGAAGCACACCAGGTTCACACGATCTCACGGGGTCAAAAGGGGAAAGAACTGTCCTCCAAATAGGACCTGAAAATCCACAGCACTCTTGCTGCACAACGCTGGCACAACCCGCCAGGAACATCGCAGTTCAAAAACCGAACTGAATACACTATAACTATAAAGGGCGTTGTCACACACATTGTCCCACGTTAGCTGGGTAAACCGTGGCTCACCATGATCAGACGCCTACCAAACTAAACTGGATTCACACACTCGCATAAAGGAAGACTGAAAAGAACAGGGAGACTGAAGGAAGAGAGGAAAGAAAATGCCATACCTAGAATCAGCGTTAGTAACCACGGCGGCGGCTGGAGCTACGGCGGAGGGCAAGCCAGGTTTTATCTTCATCTTGGTTGAGCCGGTCACTCAGAGCGACTAGCTCGGCGTCAGACAAATAACCTCTCTCCTCGTCTTGAATCATGGTCCTCACATTGTCGATAGCATCGCTTTGCGCGACGTAAAGAGTGATGGTCTAGCCAGGAAGAGTGTTGACGAAAATCTGCATCCCACCACGGAGACGAAGTACCAAGTGAATAGTGGACTCCTGCTGAACGTTGTAGTCACTCAGGGTTCGGCCGTCTGCCAACTGCGTGCCGGCGAAAATCAAACGCTGCTGGTCTTGGGGAATACCCTCCTTGTCTTGGTCAGCAGCCTGCATGTCGTCGTCCTCATCAGCTTCGCCATCACCACCGGTAGTATACATGTAGGTAGCGGGTCGCTTGGAATCGCCATCGGAGTCTCCAGTGAGTGCCATGCGGAGGGAAGGGTGATCCACGCTAGCACCCTGACTGTGCTGTAAGCTAATAAGCAGGGCCAGGCCCAGGAAGGCAAGAAACATGAATCTCATCTTGATTCGTCGCACGAAGCTGCGGGTTGAGCCATGGGGGTCTGGGGTCGAATCACGTTGTTTTATTTTACAAAAACACACCGCTGCCACCAATGTAATGGGTAGCCGAGTGGTAGGCGCGGTGAAATCAACAATAATTACTTTTATTCTACTTTCAGGTACACACTTGAGATATAATCGTTAGTGAAAGAAGAAGCGGCAAAATAAATAACTTTCTCTCCGGTGCTCACCTAGAGGCTGAATCCTTATTCTTCGAGTTAGCTTTCATTGCTATCCAATCTTATCTAATCTTCTCTTCATCAAAACAGAAATGCTCAGCCGCTTTTATAGACGCCGTACGCTTACATACGGAGATACACTAAAATACATCAGGCAAAGCTCCGTATTAGTTCCGTACTGCTTCCGTATTGGTCGGGCAGGGATACTACACAACATAAGATTAATGACTTTTTAACTGTGGAAGAGAAAAAGACATATGGATACGAGTTAAGAGTAACTCTCCATCACTGTAACATGATACTATATACAGTCAGAAAGTGCAATAACTAGGCACAAAACTGACAGAGTACTGAAACATTCGACGTCCTGACACCTAGCTTTAACACATCTCCGTAGCGCTAACCGACAGCCTACCAACTTGGAAGGTTCAAGGTTATTTCTTCCGAGTTTCAAATTGACTTTTTAATTCGTTATCAATTAAGTCAACCTAAGTAAGAGGAAATTGTGCCGGACAAATGGTCAGCATTTTATAAAGTAATAGGTATACATTGGTAGGACTTGGGCATGAAAGATATGCTGTGAATAATCCAAACGAGCTGGTCAGACAATAGCTCAGCTCTGCGTATTTCCAATTCCAGTTAGCTGCTTGCCAGTAGCATTACAAGGCCATAACTCACCAAAGCTTCAACCAATTGCACTTTCGTCCATTCCTTATGATGTAGCTGTCCTTGTGATGACGAAAGGAGAAAGCTTCCCAACCCTAGATATAAATCGTGACGACTGGGGCGTCTGGACTGCGGCAAACCTCTCAATCTTTCCTCGTACTCTATCATAGCTGTGAAGTAATCGTCTACCTGAGACGTGCGTAGATTTCCCTTTATCAGGAGGGTGACAACGGAATGATTGATTGTGACTTTTGAAAACATGCTAATCAATGCATCCGTAACAAGCACTGGGTTGGAAAAATCTAATTTGTCATTTACATCATCCACAAAAGCCCATTGCAAATAAGGATTATATATCCATGCCAAAGGAAAGAACGCAGTGAGATTATAGCGATCTAATCCCAGGTATGAACATATTTTTGTTTCGATCGTGACCAAGCTGTGAAGTCCTTTTGCAATCTCTACAAGCCTCGATGACCGATTCGCAGAGGGCAAGAATTCCTCCTGTTTGTGGATATCTTCGTCCAAATGGGTGATGATATCCTCTTGGTACTGTTCCAGCGAACCACAAACCTCGAACAATAAATCCGTTACCTCTTTTAGACGGTACTTCCTGCAGCCAAACGGTCTTTCTGGATTGATTGGCGTGCATCTGCCTATGGGGGATATGTTAGGTGAGATCAGAGAAACTTGATGATGGTACAAGCTACATATATTCCACTCAACAAGTGGATA